CTCACCCCGGGCGTGCATCCTACCATGATCAGACTTGCATTTGGGGTCGGGGGGCCCACAGCACGGCTTGCCGAGCTTCCTGACCTGCCCACCACAAGTGTAATAACAGCAGCGGGTGCAGGCGACAAGTATGCCTCCGCCCTGATTCACATCAAAGAAAATGGGTCGGTGACCGTGGTCAAGCAATCCTTGACCTGTGATCCCCTTGATGGTGGCCGCACCTCGGCACCGTCCAGGAGGGGGCTTCTGGGGGCCACGGGCGCACCGAAAACAAGAACTGCAAATCCAAAACCTGCCTTCCCAGGACCAGGAATGAGAAGGGAGGAGAGGAGGCCTCGAAGCAGAGGGGGGCTTGGTCCTGGAGGCCTCCGAAAGATCAAGCCTCGGCCAGAGGGTCATGACACGTGCAGCAAGCCTACAGACCGCCCTCGCTATGCGCGCCGAGCGCACGGCACGCTCAGCGTCCCCTGGAGCAGGGGCCGGGTGCCTCAAGGCGGCGAGGCGAGCAGCCTGGTCAGCACTATCGTTACCAAACTTGTGGGCCCTCGCCTCATCTGAGAGGTCGGGGCTATCAAGGACATGACCCTTGACCTTACTGACAGCACTGGCGATAGGACCCAAAGCCTGAAGCATAAAACCCGCATACGGACGACGAAAAGACAGCCGCACGGGGATCGGGTCGAGAGAGGCGCTGACCACATTCTGACAATCACTGTAGATGTGACTGCCTTCTTCCCCACACTGGGCGGCAGTACAGTACGCGGCGTACTCAGAAGCTTGAGAAGTTTGGGGAAAGTGGGCCAGAAGCGGCCCCGAGATAACACAATCGAGTTGCAGGAGAGGACCTAATGGGAACCGAATGCGACGTGGACTTTTCAGAACGTGTGCGGAGAAGTTGTCCGGCCCGTTTCGTTTGAGACATCCTTCCAATACTGACGCTCGAAAGGTGGTCCGGCCCGCTTCGCTTGAGCCATCCTCACAATGCGAAACTCGAACATGTTGCGCGCGAGATGGTCTGGCCCATTCTGCCTGAACGGTTTCGTAGCACAGAGGCTGCAATCACAACCTCTCTCATTCCTTCTCCCGCCTCCATCTTCCCGCTTCTCGCCTGGCCCCTCTTCCCTCCCCCCTCCTCCCACCTCCCGCCTCCCGCTGCTGCGCCTCTGCCTCCGCTTCCCCGTCCCCGCCGTCGTCGTTTCTGCCGCCTCAGCATCCGTCATGCGCGCCCTCCCTTCCGCCCTCCCCAGACATCCGAAGTCGCGATTTGTCTTTTGAGACGTGCGCCCGCGGACCTCTCGATATCATCCTCGGGATTGGTTTTTTGTCAGGACTCTTTGTAATGACCCCGGCGGCGCCCGAAACGGGCCCCCCGGAGGTCGCCGTCGCTGCAGCAGTATTGAGCCATCGTTGCGGCGGTCTTCAACGAGGCCTCCGACCAATACGTTCCATCCAAGGCAAGCGGGGCGACAAGGGGGAACCATCGCGACATGCCCCTCCCGCTTCCGCGCCCTCCTCCGCTTCCTCTTACAGTTGCTTCCGAATTCACAGCATGGGGGCGGAGCCTCTGACAGTGCCGACCCGACAGCTTACTCGTCGACCATGTGCGAGAGAGCACGACACCCTCTAGCACTCTAGCGTTAACATTTTCACACAAGTTTTCATGTAAGCATCTCAGGTGCAAACATTGTGTTTTCATGTTCTAACATGCGGCGCCAGCCCGCACTGGACTTGCACGCGATCGACCTTGGAAACCGCAAAGGGTTACAAAAACCCTGTTTGGGGGGACTGCGCTCCAGCTATACTTTTTTCTTTCGGAAGCAAGCGATGATATGAACATGGCTCTGGCTGTTGATGTAGGTTTGAAATCATTCTGCGCTTTTTTAACACATTCAACTTTATATATATACAGAAAATCTCAGGGTCGAACAGCTTTCTGGGCACGCGGCCCCAGGCGCGAAGCGGCCGAGGTCGGGGGGGCCGCGCGCGCGGTGATCCAATTAACGGCAGAGATCGAGACGGCCGCGAGGAGAGCTCGCCACCGCGAGGCGACGGGCGCGAGAGCTCGCGCGGCGGCTGGGCGGCTTTCCCGCATCGCCCAGCTGCTGGTGGGCTTCCAGCAGCGCTGCCTGCTCGGCGCGGCGGCCGGCGCGTCTGCTGACGCGCGCGGCGCCTCGCGTGGCACGCGCCCCAAACGCGGACTGGCCAGCCCGCGGTCGGCCGCGCGGCAGGCCGTCAGCTGGGGCGGGCCACGGGCTGCTGCCCAGACCGTTGGCGCCTCGACCCAGCCTCGGTCGCTGCTCTGGCCCTGCTGTCGGCGCTGCGCCGCCGGCGCTTGCCGCCCGGGCTCTGGCGCGACATGGTACAGGCGCCAGCAGGGGCACCTCGCGGCCGCCCAGCGGAGCGTGGCCTACCTCGGCCTCGGCGGCGACATCGACTGTTCGCAGGGCGTGCCCTGGGCCCCTTGCGGCGGGCGGCCGCGCGACTGCCCGCCGTGGGACGCCCGCGCGGCCCTGCTGGGCGCTCGGGCGTGACGCGAAGCCCGCGCGGCGGCTGGGCGACGCGCCGACCTCTGGAACGTCGCGGACGGGGTCGACCGCTGGGCCACCCGGCACCTACTGTAGATCGAGGAGCTCGCGCCGGACGCGGCGGGCGCCCTGCGCGCGGTCCCCACGGGCAACCTCGCCACCGAGACGGCGGCCGCTTAGGTGGGGCCAGGCCAGCCTTCGCACTGACCACGCTGCGGCGCCTCGGACGAGACGCGCGAGCACCGCTTCTGGACGTCCCAAATTGGGTGCGGCCCGCCGAGCCGGGCCGAGGGCCAGCGGCTTGAGCAAGGCCGCCCTGCTGGCGCGCCTGCCCGCCAGGAGCGCGCTCTCCCGGGGCGCTGCCCGCGGGCGCTCGCCTGGCCGCGCTTGCTCTGCAAGCCCGTCGGAAGCTGCCGCCGCCCCCGCTGCAGCCCCCAGCGGTCGGACCCACTTAATTAGGCAAGCCCAGACGCGCGCGTGGAGCGACGGCGCGAGCATCCCACTGAGGCGACGCTGGCCCGGGCCATCATGGGGGGCGCGCCTGCATGGTCAGCGGACAAGTCGGCGGTGCTCAGACCGCGCAGCGCGCCGATCTCACCGCGGCCGCGCACGCCGTCAGCGAAGCCAGGGCCCCTCTGGAACTGATCTCCGACCCTAAATATGTGCGCCACGGGATCGCCGCGTTGAGTGCCGGCGCGCGCTCCCGCGAGTGGACGCACGCGGACCTGTGGGAACTCGAGGCGTCGCATTACCAGGGCGGCCGCTACATCACAGCGCGATGGGTGAAAAGGGCAGCTCGATGCGGATGCCGCGGCAGCCAGGGGCGTCGTGCCGGAGGATCGCGCTGGCAACGCGAAGGTCGACGAGCTGGCGGGGTCGCGGCGCGCGCTCGACTCCCCGCGCCTGTTCTCTGCACGCAACGGCAGGTGCAGCTGCGCGCCCTCTGGGCGCTCCAGCGGCTGCTCGCAGCCGTGGAACTGGCCGCGATGCGGGCCGCCGCGGCGGGCACTCGCTTCCGATGCCGGCCAGCAGAAGGCGCGGCCAACGCAGGCGGCAGCGGCTGGCGTGCCCGCCGGGCAGCCGCCGCCCCGCCCCGGGCGGCCGCGGCCGTGGGTTGCGGGGCAAGGCTTGCCGCAGCGAGGCGCCGCCGAGGCCGCTAGGGCCTTTTTCGGTGGTGGCGCCCAACCTGGGCGTTGCACGTGGCATCGCAATGCCCCGACTGGGTCGCCTGTCTCAGGTGCGGCGCGGCGGCCCCGCGGTGGCAGACGCTGGCTGGGCCATTTCGCTGCCGCCCCACGCCGCCGTGTTCCTGCTCGCCCAGCAGGGAGGGCTGGGGGGCCCGAAACGGATTGGCGCGCCGCGCTGCGCTGGCGGCTTGCGTCGCTTGCTGGGCCGCCGGACTAAAGCTTTTGGTGGCGACTCCAGGACCTCCCAGGACCCCACGAAAAGTGCCACAATCGCTCACTTCGCAGCCCCAAAGAGAGCCGCGAGGCCCCGGCTGGGATCGCATGACATGCCACTCTGCTGGATCTCCCAGGACCCCACCAAAGTGGCGACAGTTGCGCAATTAGCAGCCCACCAGGGAGCCGCGAGGCAGAATAGGAAGCATAATAATAATAATAATAACAGCAATAATAATAATAATACTAATAATGGTAAGAAGATAAGTAATAATAATAATACTAAGAGCAGCAGTAATAATAATACTACTACGAATAATGATAATAATAATGATAATACGAATAATAAGAATTCAAATAATAATAATAATACTACTAATAATAACAATAATAATAATATTAAGAAGAATCAGAAGACGAAGAATAATAAAACTAATTCTAACAATAATACAACTAATAACAATAAGAATAATAAGAAGAACAATACACAATAAAAACATAAGGGGAGGAAGAGGAGGAGGAGGAGGAGGACGAGGAGACCGCAAAACTCCATTCAAAACCGAAACCCAACACGGGAGGGTTGGGAACAACATCTAAACAATTGGATCCTGAATCCTCGCAAACTACATCCCCTCCGCCCCCACGGACCTTCCTAGGACCTATCCTGGGGCGCGTTATTCTAGCCAGAGTTTCACTACGGTCCAGCCGTGGCAACGACAAATGTCCCAGGAGGTCCAAAGACGCGGACGGCATCCCCCTACTCCCGACCAAGACCCGTTCAAAATAACCTCCAGATCCATCCAGGTGTCCGTCCTGGCCCGTCTCCCACCCTAGATCGATCTCTGACGTTCTGGGGACAGTCCTCGGAGCGCCCTCCTCAAAGCTTCCTTCCGACCTGCCCCCGACCCCTAACGACCAGTGAAGTGTTGGTCCAGTTATTGGACCATGCGTTGTCCCAGCGTTGATGACCCTGTTGAAGGAACACTCGGGGGAGGAAGAGGGGGAGGAGAAGATGAGGACGAGGAGGAAAAGGCCTCTTGGGGGCCCCTCGCTCTCTCCGCTCCCCGCCCCGCTCCTCTCCGAGCGCCCCCGCTGCAGCTGCGCGCGCAGCACGGCCAGGCTGCGCCGGCGCCACTGGCGTTCCGCGGCCAGCAGCATCGCGCGCAGGCGGTCGCACGCGGGCACAGAGGCCGCGCAGAAGCCAGGCACGAGGGCCACCTCCACTGCACTCCGCTTGTCGGCGCGCCCAGGGGGGGAAGCGAGAGGGGGGGGGGGGGCAAGCCTCGCAGAAGCCCCCCCGGCCTGCTGAGAGGCCGCTGGCGTCCTCAGAGGAGTCCCAGAAAACTTCTCAGGAGGCCGGAGGCCTTCCGAGCCTCCTCTCGCGGCCGCCTCTGCCTGACCTCCCTGGGAAAGGAACAAATGACCAGAACTTCAAGGAGCATCCAGCCGCGGCGACGAAGGTTCTCCAGAACGAGCAGCGGCACCAGCAATGATCGAACCCTCGACTCCACCTGGGCTCGCCACCGATCCGCGTCGGTTTCTCTTCACCGATTCCCTGCCTTCGGAAGCTGCTCCCCGGCCCCAACAGGAAACGGCTCAGAACCAGCCCCAAGGGAAGGGGTCGATTTCTCCAAGGGGCACCCGCCAGGGAAAAGGCACAATGGTGGGGGGCGGTTCGGGGAGGGGGGGGGAGGGGAGTCCCCCTGGTTCTGTTCGACGGCGCCGAGTGCTGGGGGGGGTGCGTAGTTCAATCGCGCCGCCGAATGTTCCCAAGGCAAGCGCCCGTGAAATGCGCTCCCTCCGACAAACAGAACACGCCGGTTTTGAAGTAATCAGTCCACTGGAAGTATGCCCCCCCTCCGCGCCCAGACGACCGCCGATATGATGTTTGTTAACAGCGCAGCCCCAAAGAGATCCCGAACCCTTGCCAAGGGCGAGTTCTGCGGCCCAAGATCCGTTTTTGATGGCCCGGGGGCCCGATAACGGGCAGGATTAAAATGTCCTAGCGCCGGAGATCTGGACAAATGCCAACTAGGCAAGCATCCCGTTCCTGGGGCCGCCGCAAATCGCTGGGCTAGCTCCATCCTTCCTCCCCCTCCTCCTCCCTTCTTCCTCCTCCTCCCTCCCCTCCCTTCCTGCTTTAAACACATGTTGGCCCAAGTTCGCGCGCGCAGGCCCTGCCGCCGCCGTTCCGATGCCGTGTCAGAAGGGCGCGCGCGGCACCGCTCAAGGCAGCGCGAGGCGCGATCATCGCGGTGCTCGCCGCCGCAGGGCTGACGGGCGGCGCGAAAGTGCCGCGAGGCGGTGCGCCTTCTCTGCGCTTCCGAGGGCTTGCTCCGTACGGCCTTGGCAGTCCTGGCGGCGCCGCCCGCCCCCGCCGCGGCTGTGTTGGAGGCGGCATCGCCCACCGCTGCTTCTTGGCGACGGCGCCGCCCTCGTGGACGAGGTGTTCGTGCGGGCGACGGCTTGGTGGAGTCAGCGATGGAGCAGAACTTGGCAGAGTGCGACGGGCGACGCAGCGAAAGACAGCGGCAAGAGCATGGGAAAGAGCATGGGCAAGGGCGGCCCGAACCCGCCTGGCGGATCGGGAGCACTGGCGCTGACGGCCCTCGAGCCCTCCTCAATGAACGACGCCCTGGAGGACGAATGGGCAGATGAGCCGCCCCCACGGCAAATCCCGCGCCGCCCTGCCCTCTCGGGCCTGCGGGATGGCGACCGCGTTCCTCACGAGATGGGCGCCAAGGATCGTTGTACGGCCCCCCCGAGGATGGGGAGGACGCAAGTGTGCGTCGTGCTCAGGAGCGGCCGCTGTGCCACGGTGTCCCAGATCCCCGTCGAGGACGTGGAGCAGTCTGGGGAGGTGGCGGCCGCTGGCGCGGCGGAGGCTCGGGGCTGCAAGAAGGGCAGGGGCGACAAGCTGGGGCTGGTGCCCCTCCGGTGTCCGCGCGGTGTCGAGCTACGTATTCTGATTCTTCTGGCCCCGCGGGGCGGGGGCCCGCCTGTGCGGCGCCAGACTGGCATCTAACCTGGCCTTCATGCCTTCGGTCTTCAGCCCTCCCTCCTCCTCCTCCTCCTCCTCCTCCTCCTCCTCCTCTTCCTCCTCCTCCTCCTCCTGGAAGGAGCAGCCCATGCTAGCCAATTGGAGATTAGCAGCGGCAACACCTTTCTTGTGCGAATCGCTTAGGGTAGCGGAAGCGTCACAAGCAGCGTCTGTGCCCGACACTGATAATTGCGAACATGGCCAGGTTGCACGTTCGCCGACACGAACACTTGCACTTCGGCTGGGGACACTAGACGGCAGGCTCATGGAAACGCCAGGACGGTGCGGGTGATAGTACAGGCGGGGTGCGCATGAGGTCCTCATTGTGTTCAATCGCCCACGGGACGAATGGCGCACAGAAAATAAGAATACATTCCCTCCGCCTTGTGCGGCGTGCTAGCAGGCAGTATTGTGGACGCAGCCTCACACATGCACACGATTTGTGCGAGTGCAGAACTACCTTGGACATGCACGAGGGGGACGGCGGGCTCCGACAGTCTCTAGCTGCTGTTAATTTAGAATGGGGCCCCTACCTAAGAGAAGCAGCAGGTTGGGCCCCGGACTTTACGCGGACATCAGATGGCCAGCGTGGGTAGAGAGCTGACCCAAAGAACGGGCGTTTTGCACCGCCAACCCCAGCCGAGCCGTCCACTGCTAGCGTTGTATGTGATCCCTCTGCTACCCCAAGGCCTAGTGGCCACCTGAGGCAGACGAGGAGCATACCAATGCTTCCTCCCTCTCCGCATGTTTCCCTTGTCTCCCCTTGTCTCCCCTCCTGTTTCTGCTCCCCCTCTTAACACCGGTTCCCGTCCCTCTTACAGATGAGATCCACGCACGCATGATCACAATCGTGCGCTTGCGCGGACACGAGAGAGTGAGCAGCTCGAGCGCGAGAACACACAACATAGCTGCACCATCGCTCCCTGCACCAACGACCCCCGCTTATGAGTCGGTCTTTTCGATCGGGCGATGAAGGCATGTGCATGCCGGTGCCAGCAGGACATCATCGCTTCGCCCCTCAGCCTGGCATGGCACCCAACAGCGGCCGCTGAGGCTACACAGTGCGAGACGCAATCTACGTGACGGGTCGCAGTCGAACGTGAGATTGATAATTCGTGAATCAGCAGTATGACGCACCAAGCTGATAAGGCATTGTGTCACCACCGCCTCGACGTGCGCACGCTCACCCGTCGTGGATGCGCCAACTCTGACATCGTGCTGCTCCCGTCTCCCAGCAGATCACTGCGACGTTACGGTCTGGGAGAGGAGGTACTTCGGGTGGATCGGTGTGTGCTCTCTCGCCGCCTCTTCGACCCGCCTTTGCTCTCTCAGCCGCCCCGCCCTGCTTTCTACCGGCCGCGCCGCCTCCTTTCCTGGCGAGCATCGGCCAGAGGTTCCCCAGCTCCTCCAGTGACTTGTTTCGGACAGCGACGTAGGGTAGGGTCAGAGGCCCACGTGAGCCCAGCCGGGGCTAATGGTGCGCCCGAGGCGCTCTACACGTGCGAGGCCCCCACGGGGGCTCCTCCCCACGTCCGCCAGCCAGGTTCCAGCGAACAAGACGCTCGCCGCGCCTCCGCCCGACGGTGTGTTGCGGCATTTCCTGCCATCGCTTGCGTCTTCCTCGACTTGTTTCGGACAGCGACGTAGGGTAGGGTACAAGGGCCCACGTGAGCCTAGCTGAGGTGAATGGTTCCCCTGAGCCGCACCACACGTGCGACGCCCCCACGGGGGCTCCTCCCCGCGCCCGCCAGTCAAGTGCCAGCGAGCCAGACGCTTGCCGTACCTCCGCCCGCGGGTTATTCACAGCACTGCATCCTTTCTGCCATCCTGGCCAGGAGACATGAACAGAGGGGTCGATGTATACCTCCCCCTCACCGCTGTCTTACCGCTAAGATTGGGTTCTGTCCGCCGCCGTCTCGTCTGCGTGCTGTGCTGGAGGCCGAAGGTAACCATGCCCCATCAGGTGCTCTGTCACTCCGAGCACGGATCCCACTCTTTGCTTCGGTCGGGGATACCTCGCCAGCGTCACACCAGGACCGCCCTTGCTGCTGTCTCGCCGTCTCGTTGTGCACACTTGCAAACAATGTTGAAGGAGTCTGTCTTGAGAACTCACGTCATCCTGACCCCCAGCGCGCGAGCGAATGGGCCCGCCTACCGCCCCCCGCGTCCCGTTTCCGGGAAATCCGGGACGAATTCCGAATTCCAAACCAGCGCCCTCGCGTGGGACGTCCTCAGAAAACTGGCCCCCCGAGCCTCCCCAAGGAGGCCTTCAGAAACCCCATTCTTCCATTGCTGGGAAATCCAGCGACAAATTCCAAACTGGCGCCCACGCGTGCGACATCCTCAGAACACCGGCTCTCTGAGTCTGCCCAAAGAGGCCCTCAGGGGCCAAAAAATCTGGCGACGAATTCCAAGCCAGCGCCCTCGTGTAGGACATCCTCAGAAATCCGGCCCCCCCGAACCTCCCCAAGGAAGCCCTCAGACGCGCGCTGGGGCGCGCCGAGGCGCACCGGGCGTGTTCAAGTCTGGGGCTCTCGCTCAAGACATCCTCTCAAAGTCGAAACTCGGCGCGCGAGGAAGTCAGGTCCCATCGCGCCCCCAGGGACGACCATTTTCAGGGAACTGCCGGCGCGCGCTTGGGCGCACCGGGCGTGTCCCAATCCGGGGCTCTCGCTCGAGAAATCCTCGCAAACGTCGACCCGTGCGTGTTCCAATCTGAGGCTCCCGCTCGAGACACCCTCGCAAAGTCACCAAATCGTTTCTCGAGGGAGGCCTCCAAGGACGATGACAAGGACAAGCAGGGAGGAAAACGTAGGAGAACGGAGGGGAGCAGGAGGGAGAAGGGGAAGAGGATGAGGAGCAGGAGGAGGAGGAAGCGGAGGAGGAGGAGGAGGAGGGGGAGGAGGAGGAGGAGGAAGCGGAGGAGGAGGAGGAGGATCAAGAGGAGGAGGATCAGGAGGAAGAGGAGGAGAAGGAGGAGGAGGCGGAGGAGAGAGTTGAATAAAGTGCTGAGGATCAAGAGGGCGGGCCTCACCCTCCTGATCCTCACCCTCCTCATCCTCACCCGCGGCACCGCCGCCTCCCGCTCATTCTCCTCGCCCACACGCACAGGCTACTTTTTCTACAGACAGAAACTCCCGATCAACCGCAGAGCAGCCGACTCGTAAGTATGCACTCTTACGCTACGTAGCTGCAGCGCCGCTCCCTGCTGACAGGCCATCGGCTTCATCAGCGCCGCAATCCAAAATCCTCCTTCTCCTGCTCCTCCTCGTCCTCGTCCTCCTCCCTCCTCCTCCCTCCGCCTCGTCCCTCCCAAATCGTCTGAGATCTGGGCCCCTTGGCGCCACCGGGCGCCGCCCCGCGGCGTCGACCGCGGAGGGCGCGGCGCCGGCGCGCAACAGCAGCGCGACGACCTCCACGCGCAAGCTGACGGACGGGTCAACAGGGTCTGCGGGCCGCGGGCGGCGGCGCGGCGCCGCGCGGCGCGGCGGTCGCCGCAGCCGACGTCGTCAACGCCGCCACGGTCGTCGCCGCCGTAGTCGCCGCGACCGTGGTCGCCGCGACCGTGGTCGCCGCGGCCGCCGTCGTGGTCGCAGTGGCCGCCGTCGTCCGCATCTCTCCCTCACACCCTTCCTCCTCCTCCTCCTCCTCCTCCTCCTCCTCCTCCTCCTCTTTCTCGGATTTAGGGCGGACGGTTGAAGCCCCGATGGAAAGATAGGGAAGTAGAGAAATGGAGAGACAGGAAGAGACAGCAGCAGCTATGGCAGCAGCTGTCAGGGCCTGTGATCCCCGCGCTCCTAAGACTCTCGTCTGCCCTTTAACGTCTGGCGTAGACGGTACAGAAAAAACAACAACAGCGGCCTTTCTCCAACCAAGTCGGGTACTGTCTTATATGGGTGAGACGTTGCACTCCTCGGGGATTCGTGCAGCTGATGTGCCTCCAAGGTTTGAGAGTCCTTGGGGCCCTACACCGATTCGATTACTGCCACGGGCGGCGCGTGAAGCATCAACGTGGACATCAGCTGATTGGTTCCGCCTCCTCCTCCTTCGTCTCTTCCTCCTTCTCCTCCTCCTCTTCCTCTTCCTCCTCCTCCTCCTCCTCCTCCTCCTCCTCCTCCTCCTCCTCCTCCTCCTCGTGCCCATCGTGTTCTTCCCTGGCTGGCGGAGAAACGCCCGTGGGGAAACGGTTCCGTGTCCCCAAGGCGTTGCCCGAGACTAGCTTTTCATCTCGAGACGCTTCCTGACGCCCAAAGGGTCCAGGAAAGCCCGCGGGAGGCCGAAGATGGCGACACGCCTCAGGACCCCTCTCCTTCACGGCCAATTTTCTTCCACCTCCTCGTCCCCCTCTTCGTCCCCCCGCTGCGCCCGTGTGCATCCTGCTTCTGGTCCCCAACACACAGAGCTCCCCCGCCCTAACAACAACTCCTGGGCCGACTCCCGAAGGGCCCGCCTCTCTCCAAGCGCTGCCGCGCGCTGTCCTCGCTGGGCCGGCCCAGGCCGGTCCGACATCGCGCGCTCGTCTCCCCCGACCCTCTGCCGACAGAGCAGCACCGGGACGCCGAAGGCTGAATCGGAATCGAGGCCTCATACGTGTCCTGGTACGCCCACGAGCCTGTGGGGGGGCTGCACTCTTCTCCCGCACTCTGCGCGGAGACCCTGGATGCGTCAAAAATCGTGCCCCCCCCCACCACCCTGCCGACCCGCTGCGCCCGCCGCCGCGCCGAGATGCCCCGCGGGGCCTGCCCCGTGGCCGGCGGTCGGCGGGAACCGGCAGGCCAAGTGCAAGGGGGCGCTGCCGCATGGGTCCTGCGGGCTTCGGCGCGGCGGGTTTCGGCAAACCTCGGTGGCCCACGGCGGCGGAGGTCGGCGTGTTCATCGTCGTCCTCCCTACCTCCTCACCCCTCCTCCCCCTCGTCCTCACCTCATCTGCCCTCACCTCACCTCCTCCTCCTCCTCCTCCGCATCCTCGTCGCCTCACCCCTCCTCCCTCACCTCCTCCTCCGAATCCCCCAGGTTGGCGTGGTCGCCGTCGTCCTCCCGCCCTCCTCCTCACCTCCTCCTCCCCCTTGTCCTCCAGGCGCTCCATCAGCGCACGCTCCCGACCGCCCACCCCTCCCCAGGCCCCCCGTGGCGGCCCGAAGCGTGCCCAAGGCTCTCCAAGGTTTTCCTGAGCGTAGAAAGCGCCAGCCCATGAAGACCCGACGGCCGATCCTGGCCCCAAACTCCTCTTCCTCCTCCTGCTCCCCTTCTTCCTCCTCCTCCTCCTATGAACACATCAAAGCTCCCGAAGCCTTTGATCGCAATAAGAATAGGACACCAGAACATCTGATATGTTTTCCACCGCGCGGGCTGTCTGACTCAAGGGCCCCTGCCGCAATCCAGGGCCAAAACGGTTGCGGGCTCGTGCTATACAAACACACACGCACGAGCATACACACTAGATGTACAGCGTATATATCACACCCGCGAAAAAGTGAAAACACATGAAACAGAGAATCCTGCCTTCAATTTGAAATATACCAAATCCAGGTAAACATACCTAAGACTGTATGAACAAAATACATACATAAACTACCTTATAATGCGTGAGGAAGTGCAACTAACTCAACGCTACAATAAACAATAACAAAATATCGCGCTGCATGTAGATCAATCTCGAAAACTACAGTCAAAAGCTCTCGTGCGGCATGCAAATCAAAACCGCAACGAAGAAATCCGCCGGCCCCCTTGTGGGGCCACCAGGCTGTAGGCGCGGGTTCGCAGTTTCCTGTACCAGTTGTAGTTTGTAGTTTCCAGTGTTTCTTGCTGGTTACTGTAACTAGTTGATTGGCCGCGCGAGGGGGGGGGAGGCCCAAACCAGATATTTAGCACCTCCTGGGCGCGTTGTCTGAATTGCTGGGGGGGTTCGAAATCGACACCCCTCACACAGATCGGCGGGGTCAGGGTCCAAAAACACACGGGATTTGCAACATTTCTGAAATTCAATGCCACCCCTCACGCAGATCCGCGGGGTCAGGGTCCAAAAACACATGGGATTTGCCACATTTCTGAAATTCGGTGCCACCCCTCACGCAAATCCGCGGGGTCAGGGTCCAAAAACACATGGGATGTGCCACATTTCTGACATTCGGTGCCACCCCTCACGCAGATCCGCGGGGTCAGGGCCAAAAAACACAGGATTTGCCACATGTCTGAAATTCGGTGCCACCCCTCACGCAGATCCGCGGGGTCAGGGTCCAAAAACTCAAAAAATGGTACCACATTTCTGAAATCCGGTGCCACCCCTCACGCAGATCCGCGGGGTCAGGGTCAAAAAAACACAATGGATTTGCCACATTTCTGAAATTCGGTGCCACCCCTCACGCAGACCCGCGGGGTCAAGGTCAACAAACACATGGGATTTGCCACATGTCTGAAATTCGGTGCCACCCCTCACGCAGATCCGCGGGGTCAAGGTCAAAAAACACAAGGGATTTGCCACATGTTGTGAAATTCGGTGCCACCCCTCACGCAGATCCGCGGGGCCAGGGTCCAAAAACACACGTGATTTGCCACATTTCTGAAATTCGGCGCCACCCCCCACGCAGATCCGCGGGGTCAGGGTCCAAAAAACACAAGGGATTTGGCACATTTCTGAAATTCGGTGCCACCCTTCACGCACATCCATCGCAAGGCGTGGCAACCCAAACTGCGAGAACTCCCTCGGCCATTGAATCGCAAGGTGTGGTAACCGAGCCCGTAAACCATACACGTCTTACCAATCGCCAGGCGTGGTAACCCCTCTTGTGATCAGTTGGTTCTGCTGATTGCGAATCGGCTTCGCATGAAGTTTCGATACTGCTTCACGACAGCGCCAAGGCCTCATGACTTAGCTCTTCCACGGCCCATTCTCCGAGAGAGGGGGCCGGCGGCGGGGGGCGAAGCCCTCACGGATAATAAAGATTAACTATGAGCCTCACTTGTGAGCTCGAAATTATTCCGTCAACTCTGGCTCGGCCGTCACCTCGCCCGCTCTGCGAAAACCCTGCGTCTGATACTAAAACCTCCAGGCGTCTCCGCTGAGCTTGCATGTCGTCGCGCTCTGCACTCCCGCCGCCCTGGCCGCGCGCAGATCATTCGACGAGCCGCCGCGCTCGTCTCTTGGTGGCTCCTTCGGCTCGCTCTCCTTATCAATCCGCTCCTTCTCGGCCATCGCCCGTAGGACCGCCAGCTCCGTCTTGCATTTGTACTCAGCCTCCTTTATCTCGATCAGGTAGGATGCAACAGGGCAGGCTCCACATAACCCAAGAAGTAGGAAACATATGGCAAGCCAGATCACAATGCCGCAGCCGTCGTTCTCGCCCTTCGCGTCGTAGCCTGAACGGGCCGCCGATCTGCAACAGCAAGTTGCGAACACTGCCAACTGCATGAATGGCGCCGTCGCCTTCCGCGTCGCCGCCGATGTCACCGGCCTCGTCTGATCCATGCTCTCCTGTCGCTCTTCCTTGGTCTACTCCTTCGCCGCCGTGTAGTTCGGGTCGCGCTTGAGCTGCATCCCCCATGTCGCAGACGGTCGGCGAGGAGCCGTCTCGCAGCGGCCTTCGCAAACCCGTCCGCGCACTGCCTCTCTGAAGATACCCACCTCCAGCGTGTCGTCGTAGCCGCCATCCTCTCGCGCAGCGCTAGCGCCTCGATGCCGGTCCGTTTGTCCTGGAAGCTGGCGGCGCTGTCCTTCTGGGCCGCGTCGTAGAGCGCCTTCGCGTCCAGGACCAATGCCGACTCACCTGCCATGCGAGCGCTCTCGCCCTTCGCGACGTCCACGCCGTCGTGCATCATAGCTGCCCAGAAGCGCTTCGCAAGCTCCAAGCCATCCATGCCCGCTGCTGCTGCCTGCGACTCCGCATGTAATGAGGAACGTGACATGCGCAGTAGCTTGAAGGAATTCCAGTCGATCACGCTGAAGTCGGACTCGTATCCATCGAATATCTTCTTGTGGCATGCCAGGATGACGCAGCCACCTTGACTGGGCCCGTCTTGTCGAACTCCCCGGGCCGCGTCCGTCATAGCTACGAGCACTATGTCGCGCACCTGGCCGATCTTCTTCATCTTGAAACCGACGTCCGAGTTCTGCTTGTAGAACCGCAGCGTCTTGTTCGCCTCCTTGGCCGCGCCAACCGTCGCCGCTCGCAGTTGGCCTCGGCGAAGGCTGACCGAAACCGAAAGGCGCGGGCACGCCTGAGATCTTGGCCACTGCAACGCTCCGAGTAGGCCTCGTAGCTGCCGCTTCTCCTTGATCGTGAGCTCCCTCGTGTTGTCGCTGCTCTTCTGGACGATCGTGATGGGCTTCAGGTTCTTCGCGTAGGTCGCCATCTTCACCTCAATCTCGCTGCTGTTCGACCTCGGGAAATCCCAGTGCGGGGTCTGCGTCACGTCGCTGCCGCAGTAGTCAATATTGTCGCCTTCGGTCCATTTCCTGAACTTGAACTTCCGCTTCCTCGGTGATAGCCCGATTGTAGTTACTGCCCGGCCGCCGATCTCCGCCACCCAGCATATCGTCCACAGAAAGTGGAATGCACCCGGCACAGTTGCCGTCCTCGTCGAAGCTGAGGAACATGCAGGGGTCCAGGGGATGCCGCTTGAGACCGCTGGCCTTCAGGTCGTCCACCGCGCGTAGCCACCAACGCCTTGGCGCGTCCACCTGGCCGCACATGGGCTTAATGAGCTTCATAAGACCGTCCGGCTCGATGCCCATGAGCTCTGCCGCGTCTTTGGGCACCTTCGCGTATAGCTCACGCTCTCGGGGTCGTCTTTAAAGAAATGCAGTGGCTACGTCTGCTGTCCAAAGCCTCCAGCCGTCATTAGCCGCCAGTAATAGCGCCATCTGTCTTGCCTGTCTCGATGCTGTAGGCGATGCCGTTGGTGCTGCGCGGCTGAGTGCGTCGGGGTCGTTGAAGCCGTGCGGAACCAACCGCGCCTTGGCACGTGGTGTGCCGTCGTCGTTCTTCGTCCACTTGAGCACCCACTTCGCCTCGAGTATCCGCCGAATGTTCTCCTCGCCGGTGGGCTTGTGAAACTCCCAGACGTCATTGCCGAAGAACTCAGTCAGCTCCTTCCGCTTGCCCTGCATGAACGCCGCGCGCTCGTGGGGCGTCATGTTCCTCGTACTGATGTCCACGAAGATGTCGCTGAGCTTCGCCTCTGTGCCGTCAAACTCCCAGCCGAATGGCAGGTCCTGACTGGTGACCATCAGCTGTAGAGCTGCGAACTCGTCGTCCGCGTCGTCGAGGTCCGGCACTGGCACTGCGCTGCTCAGTCCAGGGTCGGGCAGCGTGCCTCGGAAGACTCCTCTTCCAGGTCTGGTGAAGGTCGCCGCCTCTGCTTTGTCCATCCTGAGCCGCTCCTTCTGAAGATTCGAGATAAACCTCGGCTGCGTCTGTGTAGATCCGAGCTCCTGCTCCGATGATGGTGCTACCGCCGCTGATGACGATGATGCTGCTGGCTGCGCTGTCTGCGTTGGCTGCGCTGTCGGTTGAGCTGCTGGCTGCTCTGGCTCTGGTGGGGGTGTCGTCGGCATCGGCTCCTGGCCTGGCTGACCAGAATTCGACGTCTGTCGACTGCCGTCGGGTACTGGCGCCTCCGCGTCTGGAAGATCCTCCGCTGGAGCTGCCGCGGCCGGTGGCACCTCTGGTGTTGCTGAGGCCGCTGCCGCCGCTGACCCGGATGACGTCGCCTGTGCCGGTACCTCCACCTCTGGGGCCGTCGTGGGACCTGGACCGCCTCCTCGACGTCGCTTAGATGCTGGACCTTCGTCTCCGTCCTCCGCGTCGTCGTCGACGTCCATGTCCGAGTCGCCCGGTGCGTCGAACGGGGGCTGCTGTGAACTGATGTCGTGGTACTGCGTCACGCCCGTCCTCCGCATGCTGCCCAGTGTAGAACGCACCCTTGATCACTCACGTCTGGCCGACATGTTCGGGTGCACACCGTAGTAGCTGCGTGCCGTGAACGATCCAGTAGATGCGTGGTCCACTCTCGTCCTGGCGCATCTCTTTGAACACCACGACTGCGGGGCCCTTCCACTTGTTCTTGATGTGCTCGTTGGGTTCGCCCTCGCGCCAGTAGTAGCACCGCTGGCCGATGGAAAGGTCGTGTTTGAGCGCCACGTGTCGCCGTAGGAGTGCGCGTCGTAGCTTGGCTGAGGCGTCCGCCTTCATGAAAGCCAACGCCGCCATGGACCTCCTCTCCAGCACGTCCTTGAAGTCCTCGTCCTCCTTCATCTGGTACAGAGTCGCTGGCGAGAACTTGTCGCTGGAGTTGGTCATCGTCGTAGTGGGGTCCATGCCCAGTACCCACTGGCATGGTGA